GCGTGGCACCTGTTACTACTAGCTTCTTGTTACTACTAGTAAGGCACTTGTTATGGATCAGAATAGCCAAGTCTGAAACGATTGTCAAAGTCCAGCACCCTTGGGCCACAAAAAGCATTGACGTTTGTGCATTTCAATGTCCCTCTCTCTCACTATCTCTCTCTCTCTATGTATTTATATATATATATATATATCAGGTATTCCCAGGGGCAGAATGGTGCACGAGGCACAGTAGGTCGGCATCTCCATCTATTGCTCCCCACTCCACCAATCCAAATATCAAGATTTAGTGCAATTCAATGGGTTGCACGACAAAATGCTGAAAGGAAAAACCTCTCTAACTAACACTTTCTCGCGCTCTCTCTCTCTCTCTCTCTCTGTCCCTCTCTCTCCCCCTGATCGAGCGCAGCCGGCTCCAGAGTCAGTGTCAGTGACTCATCGAAGTTTTCTTGACCATTGAAGGACACACTGAGAGGCACCTCCTGAAGTCCCCAAACTCTTCAGTAAACAAACATGTGTTCTCGAAAGAAATATGTATATATATATATATATTAATAGTCTTGTTATTGCAAGGCGTGCACGACTGTAGCCTTCCTCTGGCGTCACTCACTCCTTCCACTGCCGCCATATCCCGCCACGATGACACTGCCAAGCTGCAGTTGTCCTCGTCCTTGTATACAGAGCCGGTGGGCCACTTGTCTGTACAAGCGCCGGTGGTGTTCGTCGAACCATAAGCCTCAAGGTAGGTCGTGTAGGCACCTGTGGGGGTGTAGTCCGCTGGCACCTGGCAAGTGCGCCGCAGTTGCAGAAGGTGTTCAAATCCACCCGCACCGAAGGTGCAATGGGGGAAGGAAAATGCGTATCCGGAACGAAAATGCATATCCTGCATCAAGAGGTGTGTCCGGGAGAGGCGTGGGGGCGGGAGACCGCATGAAAAACACATCATTTTCACATATCATATAGTTCTGACTATATTTCTCATTATCGTGCAATTTGCATCACCAGGTCTATGAAAGCCAAACAAACGACTCCTCTCAAAAAAAGAAACATTATTGCATCATATTGCATCATGTCATCAGCTGGTGGCAATTGCACAGCTTATTGCACAATCACTGGGTGTTCACACTCATATTCTATTTGCCACCTCCTTCAAACTGAAAGCTTTGAAGGGTCCAAATTATAGCCATGTGGAGGCATTGTTGGATATAATTTGGACTCCCTGAGACATGTACGATTCCAAGGAGGTCGGAAAATGCATCCTGCACATGGATATAATGTGGACCCCCTCAAAAATGTACAAGTTCGAGGGGGTCGGTACTCCAACGCACTCAATCATCTCCCAAAAATAGAGCAATTATTATAGTGATAGTAAGCTCTAAATATATATATATATATCCATGTGGACCCCTAAAAATGCACAGTACAGTTCCAAAAGAGTCAAAACATAAATCATCATTGTTGAAGTTGATTGTCCATAATCATTCTATTTCTCCCTGGGGGCAAGTGGTGCGGGCTGTTGTTGTCGCGAGGCGGAATCGGCGGTGCGTGGGAATTGCCGTTACCTGATTGGACAGCTATGAGGCTGTTGGTCTTCTGGTGTAGTCTCAGCAGCACTTCGGAGCATCTGCTGGTAGTACATGATAGTACCATCAAAAACCCTGTTAAAGGTGGCGAAGCATCCAACCGGCAAGTTTCGTCAGTTTCGTTGGCACATCAGCAAGCAGATCAAGAAGAAATTGCATGCCCTACTGCTGTTAACAAATTTCCTTCTGTTTCGGTGACTGGTGAGCATTCTCAGACTGTCCTCCATTGATGCCTTGGCTCTATCGTCTGTTACTTGGTTTGTGCTGACTGTACATCTAACAGTCCCGTGTGTGCATGTGTGCGTGTTGTGTTTTCCCTCTTGGGGAGGGGGCCATATCCGACACCTACAAGTACTGCCCTGCCGCTTGCTGCATCATACCTAGTGCTGCTGCTTGTTGTGGGTGGGGGAGGGGCCAAGGTGGTGACGTTTGTTATGAGTGCCAACAACACCCTGGTGCGTGGGGGAAGTTGCTTCAGGCTGTGGGCAGGTGAGTGGTTCTGCGCCTGCTTTTGTACAGGTTGTTCTGTGCTTGCGCATGGGGAAGTGAGCAAGCTCAGTTCTGTCTGCATTCAGGGTCCCAAACAAACAACGACCCTCAAATTCTTGCAATAACACTACCAAATTGGCAGGCAGAATTATCGCACGCTTTTCATATATCGATTTGACGTCACAATTTGGAAAAAAACGCAAAAGTCAATAAACAATATCAGGACAGGCCTTCATCGAAACCCGCCGTACCGAAAAACACGGACCGTGACCTTCTTATTTCGTGCCCCAAAGCGCCACGCTCACCACTTCCAGCTCCCGCATTCGCTTCCTCCCAGCAACTACTCGCCACGAGTGACGTCGGACCCGTTGGAAGAAGTCCTCGGCACCTGTGAGACGAGGAAGCTCACTGAAACGCCCCACAAGAGGATCCATAGGATCCCCACCACTGCTTGAACGATGGGCACCCCAATGATGCGCATGGTGTGGGACCTGAGAGCGAGACCGACGCCAACTCGACGGTGACGCCTTGGAGACTGCGGCACCGACAGGGCGGTCCGATGATGCAGGTGAAAAACCGAAAAACCCCTGGGGGCACAGGAGTTGAACCCAACTGCAGTCCCTGAAATTGGTGCGCCCGACACCCTGCATGAAACACCACCGCCGATGTCTGCAACACCACCTCCGAACATCACGGGCCGTTTGGCCGTGGGTGGCGATGGCCGTCGGCCGTTGGCCGCCGAGGCGCACGAAGGTGGCGGCCACTTTGTTCACGGCAATGGCCAGCTGGATCCGATCGAAGAAGCAACAAACCAAGAGCCAGTAAATGAAGGCAAAGCCCCAAACCACATAACCTGCCAAACACGTCACACACGACGTCACACCCATATGTGGGGGCGGCGCCTGTTTAGATCAATTACTTTTAGCAGGTCAAAAGCATCACACAGCAGTATAGTGATCAATGTCAAAGTCTGATCAATAATTAAGGTCAGCAAAAGCACAAACAAGCGCAGAATCAAGCTCTCTTGTTGGTCTGATTTGATGTACTTACTTGGCTGAGAATGGGCGACCCAACGATACAAACCAAACCGCAGCAACACCGATCGCAAAGGAAGCACAGAGTTTTCCCCGAACCAGGAGGTTTTCGAACACACCAAAAATGATGTGATGGCATGTGATGGCGTCATAACCTCTCTGAAGTGTCCCAGCCTCCAGTTAGTCAAGTGGACACCTTCTGACCTTCTGATCGCTCTGGGAGCCGAATATGCGTTGGTCTGCTGACTGAAGCCTTTTTTCATTCAGGGCTGGGAGGCGACCCAAAGCCACTCTTAGAAATCAACAACACGTCGCAAATTCCTTTTAGGTCCATCCGCTGATGGAACTTACTTGTTTTCCAAAGCCTCTCAGCCTCCAGTTTTGATCGCCTCCACGCACCTGCGATCCGCCCCCACCTGCGATCTCTAAGACCTTGCGGACCTCCTCGCTGGTGACGGCGTACCCCGAGGCGCACACCGGCTGGATCACGCCCACCGGCGTGCACTCCTCCCACCTGGAGGTTTGGCGACCGAGGTCCGGCGGTGATCCCTTCGGCAATTGGCGAGATGACGGGGCAGGGAAGCTAGATGCTGGGAGATCTGGGAGTGTCTGTGCTGGGCACGTGAAGGTGTGAGCACGGACGCAGCGAACGCAACAAAAGAATACAATACAATCTGTAGGAGCAGAGGTTTTGGCCAGTAAGACCCAAAGTATATTGCACAATTGAAAAGCATCTTTGTTTCAATGAAGAGTGATCAGAGTGATCTCCGGTAAAAGGCCTACCTCCGATCGATGCTTGTGCGTGTCATGAAGCGGTGACCCACGGCTTCAACGCGTCCAACGAAATGGAACCTTGTCTGTGGATCCGTGGTGAAGCACCAAATGGTGCTCGCTTTGTTGGTCTGGGTAGCCTGGGGCCGCCGCGGAAGCCAAAGGAATGCGCCCTGTAAGGGAAAACCCGCCTTCCAGACAAAGCTTTCCTGGGGAACATGCTCCTGGAGAGAAACCCTGCCCCGCAAGAATAACAAAATCACAAGACACTGAGCTGAATTATAGTTGCGTGGTTCAGTTCTGATCGACCCTCTGCTTGCGATAAAAACAGCAGGGAGAGTATGAAAGACCATGGAAGACCTTAAACATAGTCATTCTCTTGGATCTGTGCTAGTCTTCTTCCCCTTGGACAATCTTGGACGCCACAATGCACAACATGCCTACTTGCGAACCTCAAGGATTAAGAAAATAGTATATGACTGCATGAGATTCCCCATGAACCTGAGCCCGTTTCCAAAAGGTTCCAAATCTCCCCTTTCATCCCCTTTCCCATCGCACCAGTGCCGAGCCACTCCTCCCAGCCCAAAAATGCACCCCTTGCATTCGACCACACCAATCGAGCGGCCACATACGGGTTGCGGCAGTAGTTCTGGGCTCCAGCCAGCGTGGTGTAAGGCGGGTTCGTGTAACTGGAGGCCACGCCCGAACCCCAGGTCTCACAGGCGTAACCGCTCTTTGTGCGGTACTGGACGCCTGGCGGAAGAGAGGTTGTGGATACCTCAATGATTTCACAAACATACAAGTATGTTAATTTGTTTGGCGGAGTGCACTATATAATCTGAACCAGGCATGGCAGCAAGTGAAGGATAGCAGCTAGCAAAAGGAGTGAGGGAAGCACATCAGCCATCAAATGATTGATTGGATTGGCCGGATAGTCTCCGTTAATGGGGGCTCCAGACCCTGACAAAACAACATTTGCACCAAGGAACCGAAACACTGACACCCAAGGATTTGAGCTGAAATTGAGCTAAAAGAACTTCCCCACCAACTTCGTCGTCTGAATGGAGATGACATCTGCACTCATCTGCCGAACCCGCCCCTCGCCCCTCGCGCGCCTCCGTAATCTGCCCCATCTCCCGTGAGAGCTTCGCTGGTGGCCTTTCGGCCATGACAAATATCATGCTATCCATGATCCAGGACTAAAAGCCAAAACCTAGCAGATCCTATCAGCTACACCTTGCAAATCCTTCAAGACTATAGACCCACAAATGCACAATATAGTCGGACACCCTCCAAACCCATGTCCGTCTGAAGTTGCTCAACAGGTCTCCCGGTCTGTGTTCGATCCAGCTCGCCCCGGAACGACTGTGGCCGGATGCATTTGTGCGGAAGTGTTTGCACATCATGGCCATCATCAACATCATCAGGGAGATCACCAACACCATCCCAACAAAAAGTAATGATTAGATGATTAGATTACCGTAATTCGGACCGTAATAATCGCCGTAAGCATCACCGTCATCTTCAACACCATCACCACAGGGCTATGTTTAGTTTAGAGGCTATCTGAGAGGAAACGCACTGGAATATTCGAAACATCGCCGTGGCAAACCGAAGCGTAAAATGCATCCACCGTCACCCTGACTGCGTCACGTCCTTATCAGTTCTCTCTATGTTCATCAGCATCACCATCATGATCCATCATGACTACCATCCTCATCCTCGTGGTCATCGGACTAGGATCTTACCTGGTTGCCTCTCGACATGTCGAGCTAAGTGGCCAGTTTCACTAGCAAGTCTGCGTTCGAACCGGCATCCTTTTTCGGGGGAACGGGTACCCTCAGGGCCCGAGGCACAGTCACAACCCGGACGTAGAATCGAGCACACAGTCTAACCCATGGGCAACTGGGCATATGGGCTTACATGGGCTTACAATCAGCGGGCTTTGATGGCGATGATTTTTTGTAATGGCGGTGAGATGATGGAAGCGACGATGGTGATCACATGTAATGATGCTACTGGTGGCGGTGATAGTGGTGATGATGACAACAATGTTGCCGATGATGATGATGATGATCATCATCATCATCATCATCATCATCAGTTTCTTCTTTCATCGCCATCGTCACCAAACCACCATCACAATGAAGTTGGATAATGGTACGTCTAAGTCTACTTCACAGCGACCCTTCGGCTTCCCCACCTCCGAGCCAGTGGCCGCGTTGGTGGCCGCCACCTGCACTGTGACCGTGACGGCGACCGCCACTTGCCTGGGCGCGGCCCGACCGGGCGGAGACCCGGCAGAACCGTGACGACTGGCGGTCGTTCTTCAGACTGAAACAGGTGAAACATGGTGAAGCAAGGAACCTGAACAGAAACGGGATCCAAGTATATCCATTTCACCATGTTTCACCCAGGTTTTTGGTTCCATGCTGTTCCAAACGGTTTCTCTTCAGGTCTCTCCAGGAAGTTTGGGAGTAGTTGCCTCTGTGGATGGGGCCTTTCGGAAAAAGCACCACAGCACTCGTCAATTCAGGAACACAAGCTCAGCCCTCACGTTTGGCGAGTGTCCATCAAGTCAACACGCACTGCATAGCATCCAGTCTGCAGCATCAGCCGGTCACAAAGAGATTTTAAGCTCAAAGGGAAACTATCCAGGCGCTACAGCCCTGCTCGATGCCCTTCGGACCCTTAGATATATTATAGATACTTCCTGAGCATCCCCACTGGCCAGTCTCAAAAATGCTGGAACCTCGAGATTGCAACAGGCGAGACCTCCAAAACATACCCTGGAGCACAACGGGCCTTCACATGTCAAAGAGACAGCGACGCAGTGGGTGTTGGGATTCCTTTGGTCTTCTTATCAGCTCATCGTCACAACATGGACGGCTCTACTCCATGCTACTGCAAAAACTTTGGGGCCATGTCTCAACGGTCTTAACGAGAAGCATCAACCTGCCTGGGAGATGCCGGAAGAATGTGAGTGCGGGTCTTTGTGTCCTTGAACGCCGCAGTCAGCCTTTGTAGTAGCCTTTGTTTTGTCACTGCTTTCATGCTAAGTCCGTGGCCAGCACATTGGAAGCTCTTGATGTAGCAGGCCGCGCCCCCAAGGATCAAAGAGAGTTGCACCAACAGGACAGCGCACCAAACGCAGGGGCCAATCAGGAACCGGAGGAGGACAATGTAGATAAATCCTTGGCATGCAGGTGAATGCTGAACCATTAGATAATTACAGAGTGGAGCCTCAATCCGCTGGAGTTCGGATGTGTAGGTCCCAGAAAGCTCTGAGATGGGCATGCATGAACCGCGGAGCAGACTGTGAGGCAAACAATGTGCGCTTGCATCATAGGCTTCGAGTCCGTTTGGAATTATATAGACATCATCAGTCGTGCCTTTTGACAGCATCAATAAAACTAACAGAGTAAGCCGCATTATCTACTGTACTTGTCAACACAAGTTAAATTGCGCAAGCATCCAATAATGAAGCAGCAAAAGGCCGTCAGCAAGAAGGCATCAATGGCCCTTTCGAAGTCGCCCACGAGCTTTCCAAACGTCTCCTTGGCACAGCGTACTGGGTGTCACCTGGCCCTCTCAGGTGCACAAAGATAGGCACTTGATGATTAGAGATTGAAAGCCTTCTTGGAACATGGAGGCTACACACAAATGACTGCTCCCAAGATGCGCTCTCAGTAAAGACTGCGCTCCCCAAGTTTTCCTCGCTGAGCGACATGGCGGAATTGGACATGGTGACTATTGGATGCGATTGCTTCGCCAAGGTCTGACAAGCAAGGAATACAAAGCAAGGCAGCTCCCGAAAAGCATGTCTTCTGTCACCGGGGGGCCTCCATGGCTCAAGTTTACCAGCACCCTGGCTTATATAAAGCTGCCCCAAACTCAAACATTGCCGCTGATTTGCAGATAGAGGGGAAAACATCACCTTCGGCAGCTCGCAGATCTTGAATGAGGCATCGAGTCACTGAGTCAACCAGCCCACCGCCCCGCATTTCCATCAACCCAGGGACCAGCGTGGAGGCCGCACCGCTTCCGATCGCACTGATGACGTCCGAGGACATCTTGAAGGAGCAATAGTCTGGATGGATGGACGTCTTGGGAGGCTGTGGTGGCTTGAAACAGTGCTTGAAAAGTACTAATTAGAATGGTTTTATGATGGGGGTTCCATTCCATGAACAATTCGTGCACAGGTCATGAACAATTCGTGCACATCATATAACAATTGCATGGATGAATCATGTCCAGTCCACTTGGCCCGTTTCTTGGAAGGTTCCCATGCCTTTTCAAGTCACGCCGTCATATAGCTATTCGACATCCTTTAACGCAATTGAAGAAACTGATCAGCTGATCCAAAAAGCGACGCAACCGAATCCAGGTGGCTCAAGGGCTCTGCGTTGAACTCCACGCCCGGCATCGGGACACACTTTGAGGGCCCGTAGGGGCAATGCCTCAGGTGGAGGGGTGGAGGCGCGGTACCGGCTACGAACACCGACCAGTCTGGGGACCACCCACTGTCCAGCAAACATGGAAGTGGACAATTCTCTTTTTGTAAAGGAAAGGTATAGGACATGTGTCCTTCCAGGTGCCATTTTCCACTTCCATCATTGTTGAAGCTGCCTTTTGTTGCGGGGGTGTGGCAGGCATGCGGTTTTGCTAAAGAACCATCCATCAATAACCATCGTGAGGTGGTGGGATGGAGGAGAATGCAAAAAGTAATATCCAGTCTTACTTGCTCATGCTTTCTTCTTTCCAGAAACATGGATTCTAACCTACTGTAATTATTGAGATGAACAATAGTCAATCAATGTCTGCCGTGCCTTTGAGACTGCCCTTTTCACTAGCTGCTCTTGGCAAGCAGCGTGTAGGAGTGGAGGTACCCTTTCAGCATGACTGTGCATCTATCCGCCAGTTTCTCTGCTCTCCGTCTCTGTCTGTCTCTGCCTATCCCTGCCCTCCTGTTGATACCCGCAAGGTATTACAACCTTCTGGGTGGCATCCTGCCCTGAATGATATCATCTACACAACCACTGGCGCCTCTGCCCCGAAGTGTTCGTTTCATCTGCACCTGCGTGGTTCGACCTTCGAGGCTCCCCAGTCCAAGCCACGACAAGGGCAGTGCCTTGAAGGTGAACTGGTCATTGATCGTAGCCTCTCGGTGTCGTGCGCGCTGGCGCACGGTGCTTCTTCTTGCTTGGACGGACGGAGGGCGTCGTTGATCAAAACATGCAGCAGGTAACACTGGATTGTAGAATAGATGCATATATATATATATTAGATACATATAGATACGGGTTCCAACCAGCCAGGCCCCGTATGAACATGTGTTCAGTTCATGTCCCAACATGAAGGAGGAGCTCCTGCAAGGCGCCGCTGGTCTTCAGCATCTCCTTAGTCAATCAAAGGATCAAAGGGATTGACTGGATGGATCAACTCATCAAGAACCTAGAATGCCAGTTGAACAGATTTGAGAAACCTCCCAAATTGACCAAGTCGGTTTTGCACATCGATTTGTAAGATGCCTCTCGGACAAAAACTGCCTGATTTCAATTTCACTGATGTTCCGTTCTCGTATCCTCCCGCTTCGCACGGACCATGTAGAAAATAAATGCTCCAAGGCTCCCAGTAGGTCGCCAGTGGGTTGTCTGCCGCCATCTCGTAAGTCCAGGATCGGGCGCTGGTGCTACCTGTGGGGGACTCGACTTCACAACGACCCTCGCCAAAACGACCACAGGAATGAGGGAACCACAAAACGACCTGCAGTCGGGGTTTGTTTTACAATGTGTTTATCTACCAGGGCCCTGTTTGGGGTGGTTGACGGACACCCCGTACCCCTTAGGGCCCTGGCATATCTTCACCTTACCAGCTTTCCATACTTTCCATGGCACCCGGATCTTTCGATCGGCATCTTGTGATAATGGCCAACGGTCTCTGAGCTTGTGGCTGTTGGCGGTGTCGAAGTTGGTGTTGCAATCTGGTAAGCACACTGGGTTGAAGTACCTCAGCTAGTGGCCAAAATATGTCAAAAGGTGCGGCCTTCGGCCTTCACAGCGCAGGGGCTGTACTGATCTGTACTGTAGCTGTACGGACTAGCGCAACCTGCTGGTCAATGGGTTGCAAAGAACCAGCTGGTCAGTGGGCCGCTCAACTCTCCCAACCCCAAACCACCCAACTTCAAGCGGAAAGAACATGAAAAACACTCCAAGCGGGATGAAGAACAAAGAAACCTTATGCAACGCCGCCGAAGACGGTTCTTGAGGCTCCCCTGCTGCATGACCAAGTCTTGGAACGTTCGATTCCGAGGCGCTTGGTGGCTTCTTGCCACATGTTGGTGAAGACATCCCCATTGTTCCCCGCTGGGCTGAACAAGCTCCCTGCGCTCACTGAGCCCCTCAGCTCCTCCATCTTCCCTGGCGAAGGTGCGACGTGCTCCAAGGAGTCCCAGCTGACTGCAGAATCGCGTCCGGCGTCATGCCCTACGAAGGGTTTTCGGAGATATCCGGTATAGCCTTTGTCTGGGCCAAATCAAAGGTGAGTTCTGCCACCAAAAAACAAGGTGCCCCCACCCCCTCCAGGCCTTGAACTGTACTCTGCAAAGAACTAACGCTGGTAATGTCACCTCAAGCCAAGGGGTGGCGCTGGGGACATCATACTCTCGATGACTCTCGGGTTTTTCGCTCAAGAGGGCCGTCATTCAATCTGTGAACCATTCCCTGCTGGTCGTCCAATCGATGAGGCGCGGATGCTAGTGGGGAACCAACCATGTTTTGAACCAATCGAGGGAATCTAACTTCAAGTTCAGCTGCAAGCAAATACCATGCAAACGTTCAGCAATCTGGTGTTGATGCCCATCCACTCGGTTTGATGCTCACCTTCCCTGAACCAAGGTCCCCTCTTTGGAACTGTTGACGCTCTTCAGCTATAAATATATACTCACATGACTAATCAAGCAATCTTTGTTCCATATTGTTCCCAACCTAAAGGACGCAAAAAAGAACTGGTCCAAACTCCGCCCTGCCCTCTACGCATGGCCAAGCTAAGCTGAGCAACTAAATTGGTAGCTGCTTCGGCACGAGTCGCACGGCACCATGCAACACGCGCACTGATAGGCATCCTGCGGGCAGGTTCCAGGCTGTTGGGCGCACTTATTCGGACGGTTCTCCGCCATGCGAATGTTCATGTCCCTGTGATGGCGGGAATCCACAGATGTCCACTTGTCCTAAAAAGTTTCATGATGTTTAATGACATACAGTACATACCTGGATCCTTGAGACTACACAAGTCAGTGCCTTTTGAGGAAGAAAGCCGTTACGGCATCTTTTCGAAAGACTACCATTTTTGTGACAAGTTGGAAATCGGCAAAATTGTGTGGTGACGAGGCCGACAACAAAAAGCAAAAAAGAAACAAGTGTGCGTCCAAACGGCATCTTCAGGCGTCCAAACAGTGTCTTTCCCAGTCCATGGATTTTGAGCACATGTTGGCAACCCTTGAACATGCGTTTGTTTGATTACGACCTGTTTTCGCTGAAAAATGCTGTCTATTGAAGATCCAGGTGCCCGTGGACTATTGAGATCTTAACACCAACCGCAGCGCTTTAACTTCTGGGTCTATTTTCTCACGGTCTTCATTGCTCATGCTAACATATGCTAACACATATACTCTCGGTTAGCTAGCATCTGCCTATTGATGTTATCCTGTTAAGCAGGATGTCATGACTCTCAGGTATCTTCGGCTCAACAAACTGATGTGGACTACTCTGACTTGGCCCCTCCAAAGCGGGCGGTGTCAACCCGGCGAAGCGGCCGTTGGCCCCGGTCATAAGAGGAGCTCGAGAGGCCCAAGGTTTGGATCACACTGTCACCCGCGCTGGAGCATAGGAGTTGCTTCACCTCGGAGCCATGACATCATAATTGTAGTTACAGGTAAACGACCGAGAACTACCAACAAGTCGCACCTGGTTTTCCTTGAGCCAAACGGTAGGTAAGTGAGACATGTATTCGACATCCTAGCGTGAAACAACACCCCCCGCTGAACGAAAATGGGAGGAGTGAAGTTATGTACAGTGCACGAATTAAGGACCTACGAAGGTATCCGGTCCCCCGGTACGTGCGAAGCATCGAACCGGAACGTGCCTTGAGATGGAGAGGATGGTTGACCTCAAGGACGGATCACATAATGCACTGTCATTCTTTGATGCTAGTGTTGAACATGTCTCAACTGATTCATGCATGAAAGTTCAAAGCAAGCTCACAAAGATAATCTCTTTTGCGCAGCGGAACTGGGAGTGCAATGCCAACCTTTTAGAAAGCAGGAACAAAGCCATCAAGGCACACGCTCCCGCGTGGCGACAAAACACAGCAAAAGATGTGCGCTCTTCATTGCAAGGATTGAGAGCCAAGTTCATCGACCTGAACTCAAACGAATTAGCTGCTGGTTTCAGGCATCCGGTCCCCCGGTGCATCACAGAAACGGTCATCCAGGCAACCGCTCCCGCGGTGCGTTGAGGGAAAAACACAGTGCACAAAGATAGCCGAGTCACCCGTAGATTTCATTCTCTTCTCCACAGGCAACAGCTCCCGCTGTGCGTCGTGTTCACCACCTGCGCTGACTCCACCAGTCATGTCCTCGCCAGTCACTGCCACGACCGCGATCATCTTGCCACCAGTTGCGGTTGGATGAGGACCACCAGGAAGACGATGAGGATGACTGCTGCCAATCATGGTATTGATCACTTCCGGCAGCTCCTCGCCAGCGATGCTCTGATGTCTCGGCTTGAGTACGTGTTGCTCTGGCCAGACTTTCACCTGGACCTGGTGCGGCCTTGGCCTTGGGAATCACAAGTGCCCTTGTTTCTTTCACAAGGTTGATATCCAAGCCAGGTACAAATTGAGCATCGCCCATCACGAATTCCAGGAGTTCATCCAATACGTCATCAGGGTCTGTCTTCTCACTTCGCCACTCACCTCCAAATCCCAAGATTGCGGGTCGTTTCGCACCTTGACAATAGTCCGCAGCGAAAGTCTCAGGTCGGTGCAGCCTGTTCTTCCAATAAATGAAGAAGTCCTCGCTCAGGTCAGCATCATTCCCTTTTGCTGGTTCGTTCATGAAGATGACTTTTCCAGCGTATCGATGACCGACGCCTCGAGCAATCATTTCCCTTGTCCTCGGAGGGTCAGGGATGACGGCATCTGATAGGCGTTCCAGGAATTGAATGCAGATTGGAGAGAGGTCCTGGGCCGCACAGTTGAACGCGTAGAAAGCGTCAGTCAGCTGTCGCTGCGATACTGTCATGGACATTTTCTCCGCCTTCTGGACATGGCTTTTGGCGTTCGCTTTCAAGATGTTGATGCCCGAACGAGAAGCACGTTGAACTTCATGGCCAGGCGTCCCCGCCGGCGTCCTCCTCACACCTGTTCCTTGCAGCCTGTCCTCAGGTACCATGTCCATCGTGACTTCGATACCGAGATCGGATGCAATTTCTTCGATCCGAATGAGCTGGGCAGCTTTACACAGATCCGAGGCATTGTTGAGGAAGGTGCCGCATGTGATGCAGGACATCATGCCATGGGTGTAGGTATGTGTGCATGTCGGGCACTGATCTTCTGGCATCTGAACGCCCTCAACGACCATCCATCGAGTGTTGCCATAACCCTCAGTCTCGGGGTGGATCTTGCGCCAATCAAACCGAGGTCGGTTGTAGTTGGGCAGCATCTCTTTGGGCGACACTTGGTTCCTATAGGCGTTGAAATTGGGCCTGCGAACGACATACGTGACCTCGTATGTTTCTAAATCAGGATTCTGCTTTCCTGATACCATTTGGTCTTTCACGCCTGGGCGTTCAAACAGTTCACCGTACACGAACGGGGAAAAGGTGTCCACCTTACCACACCATCTCTCATAGTCACCAAGGACCTGGTAGGTGTACTTTTCCAGTGGGCTTTTCACCATTTCATCGTCATCGGCAACTGGTCCCCCAGTGCGTGCTGAATTGAAGGCTTTGGTTTCCCCGGTAATGATGCCGCGATAGTGTGCGTACACATGGTTCGCGAAGGCGTAGCATCGGGATTCCATGTCATACACGTAAATCACGTTCCGGTTTGCCAGCCAGTCAGGGCATAGGATTGTACCAGCAGTTGTCTCTATGAGCCGGTGCCCGTTCAACATCATCATCTGGAGATCCAAGGCAACGCAGATGGGGCGAGTCGCCGCCATCGCTGCATAATCAGTGCCCGAAATTGTCCACGGATCTTCCTTCGTCAAGAATGTGAACCTGGCTCCAGTTCGATTGCCGCCTGGAATCAATCCCATGTTGATGATCTCAACCAGTGCTGCCCGGTGCGTGTAGTGATAGAGGATGGTGGGGGCCACCTCCTTCACCTTTCCCAGCGCACCTCGCGGAACCCGAGGGAATTTGCCGGCCTGGTATTCCACCGAAGTATACTCCTCGTCGAGAGTGACAAAGCGTTCATGCTCAGGAAGTGCGTCCTGCACGTTGTTGCTTGACCATTCATTATGGTTCTGAATCGCTTTGACCCGGAGAGGTGTATATTGGTATTTTCCACCGACCAAAGTCCCCTTTGGCGCAATCCTCACCTCGAGCATGAATCTGTGATTGGATGTAATGACCGTCAGCAGTTCATCGTTGGTAAGGTTGACATCGTACTTCCGCTTGATGAACGAGTACACCTTGCCAAAATCCATCCACAGCCCAGCGTCGAAGCTCGGAGGCTGCACCTTGTGCCAGGATTGTTTACTATGCTCCCAGCCTCGGAGCAAGCCCGAGACGCGTCGGGAAATCCAGACTTGTTTCGAGTTCAGGTTCGCCAAATTGGCAGCACCCGGAACCGATCTTGACTGCAACGCCACAACTTCGTTTTCCCCAAGAGGCGACGAAACGGGAGGCACCGGTGGTGCCCGAGGCATGGCCTTGGCTTTGACAGCTGGTTTTGCTGTCGGGGTCGAATCCGAGGCCACAGCTCCCGCCGGGCGTTTTGGTACTTTGGGCTGAGTTTCCTCTGTTGGCTTCATCTCAACATCGGCCTCAGCTCCCGCCGGGCGTGCTTTTGCCTTCGGTGATGCCGGTTTTGTTTTCGACTTAGCAGTCTCGCTTGGCACTTTTGGTGCCCCCGGCTCACCTGATGCCTTCGCCTTTGGGATCCTCGGTTGTGGTGCCTTGTTGGCCAGGTCGGGCTCGTTCCCCAGAGTTGTAACCTCACGGAACTTCCTGAGTGCCTCACCAGTGAGCTGAGGGATGTCTTCTTCCGCCATATAGATGCGAATGACATCGCTTTCATCCTCCTTCTTCCTCAACTGGTAGGTTACCCCGGCGACCTGACATGAATCGGCATGCATAGATGTGAGAATCGGTTCCTTGAACACAATCTCCTCATCTGAGTCATCATCTGGCTGATCTTTGTTTTCAAAGCCTTGTTTGATGGCGGAGTCAAGGTGATCTTTGAGAAGTTCATTGACATAGTTTTCATCCGCAATGGGTTCATTGGATACATGAAGCTCCTCTTCTTCCGTGATGGTAACAGGGTCCACCTCGGTGTCACCGTGCTTTGGCATATCAGCGGTGACAGACACGAACTCCATGCCCGGAGTGCTCACGGGAGCCTGGTTGTTTGCATCTCGACCTTCCGTCCCCGGAGGCGAATCAGCGCTGGGCGCAAAGGTGTCGTCAATCTCGATGACTTCCGGCACACTTGCATCCGGCATTGTCTGATCAGCCGTCGGCGGTTCAGCCGGGACTTGCACATCCTGACCCTCATCATAGACATCCGGACCAACGGTTCCCCGTGGCATATTGTAGAGTCGCTGATTGAATGGCAAGAGCTTGGCAGCTGCAATCTGCTCCTTAGTCGCGTAGACAGGGTCCCCAAGATCATCCATGTGAGCGACCTCGGTAGTCTCAGAGACCGTCAGGAGCCAGCCATTCTTTTGGTCGATGGCAGTCTGCCTCTTCTGTCCCGGGATAAGCTCATCGTGCTCGTCAAAGTCACCCAAGAAGAGGTACCCGGAATCAATGCGCCGCTTCCAGATGTGCTCAAGCATATACTGGCGGTTGGTTTTCTCCCCACGAGGTTTCGCGAAGAGGTTCGCGTCTTTGCGCAATACATCAACGCCAGCGAGCACCCAATAGTGGTAGGCAAACAAAGCAACGTTAGCGTAGAACTTCACGAACATCGCCCGGTTCTCCTCGGTGTTGTGGCAGTGGAAGTTGTCATACCTCTGACACGATCGAACCAGGGTGGTGCCTGTCACATTCATGACGCCAAGGCGAGTGAAGACATCCGCTGACTGGCACATTTGATGGGCGAATTCTTCCGGCAGTCCATAACTCTGCGAGTCGCAGTAGCAGATGACAATCAGGGCTGCCACATCTTTCCTCTGCCTCAAGTCCGCCAGACGCCTCATCTGCTGGGCGTGTTTTTGCGCCAGCTCTGCCTGCCACTCATAGGCTGCTCTCTGCTTGGCAGGATTCCGGTGGAGCACGTTGGTGTCCACCCAAGGGTTGCCCACAAATCCGTGGTTGCCGTAGACATCATTGCCGGCATATGATACCACGATGACCGCTGGGGCAACACCTCCCGGTGTGCGACGCCTTCCGTCGTCAAGACAAGCCTCTATTCCGTCAATGATCGCTTCCAGGCCACGGCCCCAATGCAGGCTGTATTGGACACTACCTGCGCGATCCGTCAGGAGTGACGGTCCTGCCTCCTTCAGGTATTCGCCCACGTTGCGCTTGACGCGCGTGGTCTTGCCTTCAGAATCCACAGTTTCATCCACAAGTGCCATTGACGAGTCGCCGGCAAAAATGAAATCGACCACGGGTCCCCCCGGGCAAGGTAACTGCGTCATCAAACGAGCCGGATTGCATTCCAAGAAC